GTCCTTTGTCATTGTCATCTATGTTCTCAAACAATTCACTTTCATTTGGCTTTCAATTTGGCTTTCATTTCGAAACCATATTGCTAGATGTTAGAGAAAATTGTACTGCAATATACATTTATATACATATACTGCATATTAAAAACTCGATGTGAGTACTTGTTGCCAAAAGGTTTCTGTTCAAAAGTGTGACTATAATGTTTACTATTTAAACTTTGGCATTACCTATACAAATCATTAAATATTAACTTTACTTCGTAAATATATTATAGAATGTAGAAAGTGGAATGTTTTTGAGTCAAAATTAAGTAATTGTAAAACCACCAATTGAGTATACTACATAACAATATATATAATATACTACATAACAATATATTGTATCCAGAGTCGCTCAATCGTCCTTGAGGAAGTCTGTCAGTTTTGTATGCGAACGGTTAAACATAAAAGAAATAGATGAGTACTTGGTTCACTTAATTTATTTTTTATTCTATATTTTGTAAAATCTTCAAAAATCAACTTACTTTAATCATATCTATGAAAAACAATGGCTCTTGAAACTTTATTTACATAGCTTTTAATAAGTTTTTAATCTGAGTTCAGTTCGAACTAGGAAACTTCCCAGTATTTCTATTGTTGAACAAGTATTGAAAGTATTATTCAACTACTTTTTATTTCTTATTCTCACTTTTCGATCCATTGCCTACCTATTGTCTAAGAGCTTATTACAAGCTGTACTACTTATAGCGCTTAATTAGTATAAGCTCAAATCGGATTAACTGATAGGTATTTGCAATTGGTCTTGACCATCATATCTTCGATATTCTTGTAACGGAAATAGTCAATTTCAATTAATTATTGAAACTGAAAAATAAAAATTCAAAAGAGAACACGTACTAAACACTTAACCCTAACCCTGTTCTAAATTAAATACGCCGCTATGTTCATATTTAATAAATTTTTTCCTATAATTGCAAAAACAGTGTTTATTACATATTGTAATGTAATTGATCTTTCTAACACAAACTGACCTAACTAAGTATTTTTAACTTTTTAATTGATATTTGTGTATAATTTAGTCCCCCGCAGAAAGTAACACCCAATAGGAACAACAACACATAACATGAAAATTTAAACAAGTGTTTACTAATTAAAGAAAATATTGTTAGTAATAAAATGTAGATATTAAAAAAATGTGCATATTAATTAAAACAATAATTCTCCTACTACTACATTTTAAAATATATATTCACAATTTAGATGGTAAACTTTAATAGGGTAACAGTGACAAAGAATCTTATGTAGCGAGGTTTTAAGCAGTGTTTGGGCTTTTAATTAATATTTGTAGATGTGTAATAAGAATTCAATTTTTTATGTTCTTATAACATATAGAAAGCTTAGTTATATTGTTAAATTTATTTAAAATAAATATTTATTACTGGTTTACGACCATAATATTGTTTAAAACAAGAGAATAAAATCGAGTGAACACGGCTCTTCGACTCTAAAATAAGTTCATGTCCGGAAATCAATCAGAAGGATATTAAAACTAGTAATTAATACTCATAGACTTATTGTTGAAACAACTAGCTTACTCTGATTTATGACTCATCTCTGGGTATTTTAAGGACTTTCTAAAAATTCATTGCAAAAATGGAATCCATAAACTAGTGGTTTATTGAAGTAAGTGCATTGAAATTAGGAGATTAGACTGAATTATAAAAAAATTTTTTTAATTAAAAATATATATTTTTATTATCTTCGTACAATAATTTTGACTTTCATCAATCTTCGCCTGTCTCTTATTATTTGTTTACTATTGGTGATATAGATTGAAATAAATTGTTTAGACGATATTTAGTACAATAGACGAAATTTTTTGCAATTCTACCAAAGATATAACATCACTTCATTTTCGTCAATTTCAGAAATGTGCACCGTTTTTGCAGTTTCTGTTTCCTCTCTGAATGGTTACCAGATATTATGCAAGTATGTATAGTTTCATGATCATAATCATACAAGTAACACCTTAAAGTAAAAAGAATAGAAGAACGCCGAATAGTTTTTACCCAACTCAATACAGACAATTTTTAATAACCGATTGCACATAAATTCTAATATAAAGTAGTATAAATACTTAGAACTATGTTAAATTAAAATTATAGTTTTTATAAAAACGTTGAATCTGATAAAATTTTAATTAAAATATTGATAACAAAAACTTAAAATTAATATATGAATTAAACTATAAAAGATATATATAAATTATAGTTATTATAAATAAATACAATCTGATAAAATTGTAAAATAAAGTGTTGAGAAAAAAGAAAAAAAGAATAGTATATAATTTAAACTATAAAAGATATATAAACATTATAGTTTTTATAAATAAATACAATCTGATAAAATTGTAGTTAAAATGTTGATTAGAATAAATTTAAATTAATATATAAATTAAATATTAAAAAATAAATTAAATGCACAGTTTTTATAAATAAATACATTCTGATAAAAATGCAGTTAAAATGTTGATAAAAAAAAATTAAAATTAACCTTTGATATAAATTTTAAGAGATATATTATAAAATATCTTCTAATAATATTTTTAAAAAACTCGCTAAATTATTTCTCTTCCAAACAAAACTCCTCCACATTTAAAAGGATTATTCATAAGTAAATGACTAACATTTGTTTTATATTAATTTGTTTATATTTTATATAAATATTATTGTATTTTGTTTTTATATTATTGCATCTGTCTATATACGTAAACATTATATCATTCATATCTTTCAAGCAAAAAATATGAAATATATATTGGTCATTAGAAAACTGGTTTATTTTTAGATAATAGCAACATGCCTAAAAAATTTTGTGTTTATAATAAAATTTTGTATCTTTTATGTTTTTGATTCCTAAATGTTAAGCAAAAATGTATTTTGTATCTGAAGCTTACAAAACTTTTTTAACAATCTCACTTTTGTATTTACACAAATGTTTAAACAAAACTCGTTCCAAGCCAAACAGCCATGAACCCCTTTATGCGAAACTTGTTTTATAGCCCAACCTTTTTTTTCTAACAAAACCGATTATTAGTTCTTAGAAGGAAGAATGAAAGCTTGGCTTTAGAGTCTAAACTTTAGATGAAAAGATTTCAAGCTTTAAAATAACCTTCAGATAAGCAAAAGTTTAGTTTTTACGTTGAGAGACAATATTTTATATCTTTCAAACGACTTAAAGAACTTTTGATTTCTAATTATTAGAAAATCTAACCACAGACGTCAGACCACAGATAATTAACCAAGTAACTAAACAACTATATTGTTATTAGTATACTAATCAATGATGTTTATTTCAGTAAACGTTTTTAGAATAATTATTTTTACTAAAAAATTAACAGAAACTGTACTGAAAGTGACAATTACTCATCTGAGCTTTTAGTAAAAAATATGCTCGCATTGAATTTATACGTCTATATAAGTAAATATACTTTCAAGTATATACATATATACTTACATATGCATACATATATACCTAAGCAAACATTTATTTATAATTAAGAAAAACTAGTTTTTTGTTTATACAATTTTAAGAAATATTTCTACAAAGATTTGTCGTAGGTTGAATTTTTTAGAACTTTTGACATAGATTCGATACTAAATGTATAGCATTTTTGTGTGTAAATATATTTTTATGACGAATTAAATGTTAACGAGCACATATTAATTTATAAAATATTTAATATTTTGAAAAATAAATTTAAAAATATAACTAATCAATAACAATATAATTAAAAACTATCTGCAATTAAATTTTTCGGTTTTTCAAAATATTTTTATTGTATATTTTAATTATTTCTTTGGATATATAATATTATATCTGCATTGTGTGACTACATATATATTACTATAAAGCCGTTAGATGTGTTCTATTTAGGAAGACTAACTTCCGTACAGGTGACTGCAAACTGCTGATCCCATCTTATATTTAGCTTTTCTATGTTGAAAAACTTCTACAATTGCATGAAGCTTGTAGTCTGCCCAGATTATGCAGATGTCATAGATGTGTATATACTATACATTAGATATATTTTTTAAAATATAAGACTGATGTAGGAATTCAATAAATTATTTGATTGTACAGTTCATTTAAATTAATTTAGCCTATTCAAAAGCAATGCACTGCAAAATAAATAATTTTCATATAAAAAAATTATTATATATAAAAATGTTTATATAAAACAATTTTTATATTAAAAAATTTTTATATAAAACAATTTTTAAATAAAAAAATTTTTATATATTATTTTTCATATACAAATTTTTCCATATGGATTTTTAGTTTTTCTATATGAAAATATTAATTTATAATTTTTAGTTAAGCTTCGAACTGGACAGCCAACCGAAAGCCGGAACCAAACTGATTTTTTTCACGCGAAAAGGAATGAAGAAATGTATACAAATTCTAAATCTAAACTTTTAAATATAATAATGCCTCTTTAGTTTTCTATATAATTCCAAGAAATATATTTTTTACTTACCGAACATAATAGGTTAAATAAAAATAGAATATATTTAACCATTGAAATTCCGCAACTCATTTTGATGAGATTCTATTAACTCTTTCCTTATAACTAAATAGTTAAAAACAAATAATATCATATTTAAATTTTTTCTTTTTTGTTTACACAATTTATAATTATAACAAAACGGTTTTAAAAATTTTAAAATAACAATAATTCAAGAGATAAAGCAGTAATGAAGAAGTAAATGATGTGAGCAAAATTAAAAGATATTTATATTTCAAATTTTTTTTTCACATTTTATTAAAATAAGATAATTATTTAAGTCTTTTTTCTGTTTTAAATTTAAGTCGCAATATATATTTCGTTTCGTTTTTAAGCAGTGAACAAAACAAGCATTTTAAAAACACGCTTACAAGTATAGTTTTCAGCCAACAAATTCTGTCGCTCGTACATACAAACTAGCCGCCAGCGCACAACTAAAGCTTAACAAAACTTCGCAGTATTAACGCACTAATTCAGGTAACAACTTTTGCTTTGGCAGCACTGAAGCTCTGAGATCACATACAGCTTTCCACATAAACGGATAGCGCGCAAACCATGAAAACCATGACTCCTTGCTCTTCGTATTAACTTCAACTTTTTGTAAATGTTTGTAATATTTTGCATTTTTCTTAGCATTTGCCGCATCCTGAACATAATTGGCAAATCTCAACTTAATTAAAGTTTCGGAAATATCGATTAATTTATTACTTTTTGGTGGATGAACTAAACACATTTGGCATATAACAAAATCATCTGCTTTACTTTTGGTGAGTGGTATAAATGTGGCTTCCCGTCCCACCAAGCAATTTTGCAGCCAAGAAAAACCATTGCCATTGACTTTTATACCAGACAGTTTAACTGGCAATACTCTTTTACTGCTCATGAATATTGATAACCATGGACGATGATTTATATATAATATTGTGTCTTGATTGTGTTGTTGGACGGCTTTAATGACGCCAGTATGTACTACACGTTCATTAATCAATTGTTCAGGTATGTGCGAGGGTTTTTTAAATTGACGCACCAAATACGCTGGTTTGCGTTTTGCATAAGCCACCAAAAGCAATACGCCAGATACACCATAAGCTACCAATTCGGTGCCAATCGTTTGCTGTTCCAATGTATTACATAACCCATTATATTTCTCCATAAGATATGTTTTTGTTGTTTCCATAGTTTCAATTTTAGTTATTGTTTTTATTATTACTGCAAATGGTACGTGCTGTTGTTTATCTTTATGTTAATTTGCTTTAGTTTCTTTTGTTAATTGTTCACCTAAAAATCGAAAACGAAAATGAATTTTTCTATTTCATTTTTAATTAATTATTTAACAAAACTTTTACTTTGATGACATCATTTACTTGCAGTCTACGTAAATATTTCCTAATAGTTCGCTTATACAAAAACTTTATTAAAATTTATTTTTGAGACGATTCTTTTCGAAATGGAAATACACAAAAACAAATTATTTAAATGGCTGATCGCATTGTATTCCCACAAACACTTTTTGACATTTCTTTTTACACTCTCTTGTTTGAAACTTTTCAAATTGAAGGTCACAATATCTCTTTAAATGCTCTCAATTAAAATTCTCTCCTAAAGCATTTTTATTACGCTCGCACGAAGCTTTTCAAATACAACTTTGTTTTTTTTTTTTTTTGGTTTGCTTAATAATATTTAAAATGATCTTCATATATTCATTTGCTGTACCTTTCAAAATATATTTCGAATTTTTCCCGCGTTTGTTGTTTTTAACTAGCGTCGTTGTCTAAGACTGATTGAATTAAAAAAATGTGGTCGTTTGATGCCGTCAAAACACAAAACAACAGCCTGTTGCTTTGACCTTTTTCCTCCTATGTGCTTGCCTCATCAAAAAGCTTATTTTGTATTTATTTCTTTTTTTTTTTGTTTTGAATACGTTAATAACCGTTGCTTGTTGCAAGCATTTTGATGTTGTTGTTTTGTTAGCTTAATGCATTAGGTATTTATTAATAAATCTGTTATTCTATTTTAATGACATAAAAATGTAATTTACGTTTATTTTAGTTTTTGTGATTCATATAAATATATATATATATAGGTGTATATGTAGTTGCATACATAAATATATATTTGAATAATAAACATACACCTGCGGCCTGAATTTACTTCACACTCTTTTAATTTTTATTTGCATTGTGCAATATACAGAACAGACGAGCCAAAATTACTTTGTGTTTTTTTTAGAAATTCTTTTGTTTTTTAATTGTATATCATATATGTATGTGTATGCATGCATTTATTAACATATATACAATACATGCATTATTTATATATTTTTGTGAATTGAAGTACTATACATACATATATTATCCCATTTTACATACATACGTACACAAATATATACAATAATAAATAGAAATTTAAAAAATTAATAATTTAAGGTGCATAATTTTTGTAAAAAACTTTTCGTTAGGTAATAAATGCATATATGTGTGAGAAACCTGCACTTACTTAAAGGGTGAGATCTTAAGTGAATAAAACCTTTCCCCGCTTCTAAATGATATAAATTACAATATACATTAATATGCATATTTATATTTAAAGCATTTCCCACCTCAAAATGAATAAATAAACTATATACATATGTACGTACATTTATTATCATTACTTAATAAGATAAAGTCTTTCCCCACCTCATCATTCATTAGCATTACAATTATATTTAATAATATAATTCCATATTTAATTATTGCAATTATCTGAAAATCCCCTAAATAACTTTTTGACTATGCCCTACTGAGAAAGTGCTTATATGTTAAAATTATATTCTAACTCTATATTTACACAGATGTTAAATAAAGTAGCGGAAAAACAGATAATGATGCAAATAAATCATTTAAGTAAATATAAACATTTTTAATAAAAAATCATTTTCTTTAATATAAAGACATGAAATAAACAATGAAAAATCACATTTTTATTAAGCAAAAAATATCAACAACCATTTTAAAAGAAAAAATTTTATAGAGGGGCACCACCCGATTGGATCACTTAGCAAAATGTATGTATCGTATATTGGGCAGTTGATCTCAATTCAATACTTTTAAGGCAACACAAAAAAAAATTAGTTACCAAAAATAACATTAAGTTTTCGAAATTAAAGATGATTTCATCAGGTTTTCAACACAAGAAATCTAATGGAAAACTTCTCATATTACATATAATATATATAATGCATATTGATTAAATCGTTTTCAAATCTGAACATTCGGGAAATTATTCGGATATTCCAGGTGTATATTCTTAAATCAGTAACAATATACGGTGTCCTTATCCGAGACTTAAGGATTAATTTTGGGGCATTAATTTTTGATGCTCGCTACACTTGAGGAATTCTGCAGATTAATAATTTGTATACGTAGACTTAGCTTAGTTGAAAATAATTTATTTAGATATTAATCAAAAATAGAAAAAATTTTGAAATGAATTAAATATTTCATAAATACATTTTATATATTATAAATGAGAAATTTTATTTACATTTATTTTTTAAATATTATATTAAATTTTAGAAAAAGAAATAAAAAATACATTATAATGTTGACATTATTTAAAAACTATTTTTTAATAATAATTCATATGAAAAAATGGCAAAATTCTTTTACTTTCTGTATTTGTAAGAAAAATGCTTCATGACATCATAAAAATAATTAATTCGTATTGATCACGTTCATTAAAAATTCATAAGAAAATAAAATTATTGCTGAAAACGTATGAGTAATATTTTAAAAATGTTCGAAGAGTGATTCCAGAATCAACCTTAATTAAATTATATATGTATATATATATGCAAAAGCTTTCATGAGTTAGTTTTTAACTTTTTAATGACACTGTCGAAATTGTGAGAGAATAATGAAATTTTAATTAGTCATTAAAAAATCATTAAATGTCTGAAATAGATTTTGGAAATATTCACTATATAACAATTTGATTTCCATATATATACATATATTTGTTCAGATATAGATTATACTTTATGTTAACTTTAAGACAACAACAAATACAACAAAACACTAATTTTTATCCTTAAGTAGTAATACTTTATAAAATAAAATAATTGTTATTAATGATATGGGATGTGGCACTGTGACCGTCGGGTCTATTGTGACTTTTCGATTAGTAAATCTGGGGTAACTTTTTCAATCGAGATTCATTTTAAGTGCAGTTTTTGTTTTCGATTAGTAATTACAAAAATGTTAGATTACTCTAAAAACTTTCGATTGGGCAACATGATTTGACAGATAGAACCCAAATCTAGTTTGAATTAAGATTAACCAATCGAAAACGCCATAAGAAACTCTCTTCATCACTTCATTTGCTTAGCATTAACTTTCCTAACTTTAACAGTAATAGTGAATTGAGGGATATAACACTTTTAACTGTTAAAGTATTTTGAATAATGTAAACATATTATTATTAATAATACTCCATATTTAAAGCCATTTTAAGCCTTTATATATTTTTTAGCCTAAAAGCTTTAATATTTCTCTAAGAAGGCATTAATTTCCCCTTAAAATTTACAAATCCTCCTCCTTGACTAAACATAAATTTAAATTATTAGTGAAGGGTAATATTAAAGCTTTTAAGATAAAAAAAACTGAAGAATGGGCTTAGTGGTGAATGAGGGCTAAACGTAGTATATATCGGCTACTGGTAGAAACGTGCGTCGCTCGGATGCCGAGCTAGTGACTGGCGACTATACTTTCGAATCCGTCAAGAATTTCATCTACCTTGGCACCGCCGTAACGAACACCAATAATGTCAATCTGAAGATCAGACGAAGAATCACCATTGCTAATAGGTGCTACTATGGGCTCAGTAGGCAATTGGGATGTAGAGCTCTCTCTCGACAAACGAAACTATAGGTCGCTCATCCTCCCTGTGCTTCTGTATGGCGCAGAAGCATGGACCTTATCACAGAATGATGAAGCAGTACTGGGAGTGTTCGCGAGAAAAGTTCTTCGTAAAATCTTTGGTTCTCTACGAGTTGGCGACGACTACCACATAAGAATGAACCACGAGCTGTACGAGCTTTATCACGACATTGATATAATTCAGCGCATCCAGCGGCTTCGCTGGCTTAGTCATGTCGTGACAATGGATGAAGATGCTCCAGCGTAAAAGGTGTTTGAAGCAGTAGTTGAAGGAAGAAGACGTAGAGGTAGACGGTGTGTCCGATGGAGTGATCAAGTTGAGGGAGCACAAACTGATCTTGTTGTATGAGACTGGAGAAGACGCGCATGCAGCAGAGGCACCTGGGGAGACATGCTGCGTCAAGCTGAAACTCGGTAACGTGTTGTTGTAATTTTTTTTAATATAACAATTTCTACAAAATTCCCTTTTGATTTATATATGAAAAAGTGATTGTTCATTAAATGTAGAATTATCTATGTCTTATTAAAACTAATATTAACTAAATTTTGTAAAATTATTTTTATATATTTTTGAACGGGCTTTATGGTCAATTATTTAATAAAAATAAATTTTTCAATTTTTTTTTAAAAAATATATAATATTTTGAATATACTCCATAGTTATCTTTAGGGTACTGAGTTAAATTGTTTTGAAAAAGTTTCCAAATATGGTATAATTATTCAAATTCATTTCTGATTATGCTCTATCATTATGATTATGCTGATTATCATTAACTATAAACCTGAACATTCCCTTCACATAAATTTCTTTCCAATGCAAACAAAAGTTAATTAATCTACGTTAAAATTTTTTCCCTACAAAAAAATAGACCTAAATTACACAAATAAAAACACAATATATGGTATAAATTATGTAATTACAGCAGGGCTTAATTACCAATGGCTTTCTTAAAAAAATGCCCATTCGTCTTAAACATGACAATAACAATTATAACAACAAATGTTAATTACGTAAAGCAAGCTTTTGAAGCTTTTTTTAACTAAATACGTGCCTCTAGCTCAAAGCTTCAAAATCTAATTTGAATATTTTAAAATATTGACTTCTTCTTTCACCATTACATCAACACTTTTAATTACATAAATCCAAATTAACATATTTACTAGAAACACTTACTACATTGTTTTTAAATATATATTCACATAACACAAAAACAAAAATAATCTAATTCATATATAATTATGTTAATAACAAATTGAACTCGGGGGCAAACATGGCATTGTTTTTGTGGTCAAAAATTGTTCTTACAATTCAAACAAATATTTTATTTGTTTATTCATTGTTCATTCATTGAATTTTATTTCATTCATTTTAATAATTATATTAAATTTGACTAACAAATACTTTAAATGTGTTGATATAATTTCCACCTATCATACATAATGATCGTTGCTTAAGTTATTGTTATAATACCTTCAAGCACCAAGTATAACACTTACGCCAAGGAACATAACTGTTATAACTTGTGTTAATCAATTTATTGTTAGTATAACATTTACCTTAGGGAACATAACTATTATAATTTGTGTTAATATATATATTAATATCATATATATTACTAATTATGATTATATTATAAATAATCTATATAAACAAAGACTAGAAATTATATTATGATATTATTAAAACAATTTGTTACGACTTTTAATTTTGACCTTATAGGTTGTATTTGTATTCTAATATATAAGACTAGAATAGTCCAAAAAAGTACAGAATGAACAAAAATTATATAATATTTATCCATAAAATAATAATTAAGTCAAAAATAGATATAATTGAATAACAATAAATACTTTTTCATTTGTTCGATTAAAAATCAAATGCTACCATAAATATTTATTTTTTATTTGTTAATATATTACTTTTTGTTATATATTATATTTATTTTGTTCACAACTATTAGAGATAACAAAAAATATATTTTGGTTTTTCTAGAAAAATACATAAAAAACTAAAATATAATTTTTGCTTTTTATTATTAATTTTCAAATTATGCTAAACACTAAAAACGAAAAGTATATTCCTCCATACTTACCAGGATATTCCAACTATTTAGAAGCATAAATAAATTTAGCATTGCAATGCCAAAAGTGAACTCACAACCTAAGCGTGAAGATTGTGAGATCACTAGAGAATGACTATAGGAATATAAGGAGAAATCTTAGACTATTTATAAGCTTGCAGTTCGTTTGTTAACTGAAAGGCTAATGAAACACCGTACTTTTACGCCGTTGCATATTCTAACACGTGGTCTGTGCAATAGTTGCTACGATAAGGAATAAGTAGAATCCATCAATCATTAATTTGTCTCTGCTCAGGCTTACACACCAATCGGCTTCATTGTGCAGGAGCTTGTCTTACAAGCTGAGCAGAGATTGTGAAGGTAAACTTATAAGATCTCCTTAACTGATTGACCAAATAGTCTAACCAAACGGTTAGAGTAACCCGTTTCTTCATGTCAGCTTGTTGGGTTGGCACTTGTACTAAAATGCCTAGTGGCAGTATAGCACAACCTACGACTCATCGGATACCAAATGAACAAATATAAGCATTTTATATACGTTTCGATCTACATGATAAAATGAATTTGTTTAATTTTTTTTATCGGTAGAATTGTCTGTAACATAGTCCATAAGTTCATTGCATTAAATTTTACACTGATACTTTTTGTTAAACTTGTTAAATAATAACTAGATAATGTTATTGGACTATGTCATATAACACCTTTACATAATACACCTATCATGGAATCATACTGGATTGACACGAGAGTTTTGTTTATAATTTTAGCTGTCATGTAAAAAAAAAATTTTTTGACAGCTGAAATTAACTTCGGTAAAGCCAAATTTATATACTATAATATTAAATATATAAAAACTGAAGTTCATTTTGAGGTTTTTCAAAACTTTCATGTGTACTCAATTAGGTATTGAAATTTAATATCAATATTTAAAATAAAAAAAATAATAAATATTTAGAATAAATAATAAACAAAATAAAAATAATCCCTGATAAAAATATTATACGTACATAATTAAGTATATGTTAATATAATATTTCCAAGTATTTATTTATTAAATGTACCGCAGTGCCTAACTGTTACCAAATTTGAATTTTAAGTAAATAACATTAATGCAACTTAAAATATATTTAAATATTTAGTTAGAAAAAGTTTTCTGATAATTTTCTGCAGAGAAATAAATAAAATAATAATTAAAACTACAAAATCAAAAATACATATGTCAGGGTCAGTCTTTTTCAAAACAATTAACTTTTAATTCAACAGTGGCACGAAGGATATTGTAAGTCGACCAAAGGGTATTGAAAAGGTACATGCCAGCAGGTACTGGGATTAAGTTGCTCCAGGACGCATTAAAGCGATACTTATTCATTAAAAGATATTCCTGTTAAAGGTTTCAATTTACAAATTACTTGAATTCGGACAGATATAAACAAAATGACAAACCTCATAAGGGCAACTATGATTCATATTACTATAATCTGCGAATCCACCAATTGTATAGAAAAGTTCAGCCATAGGATTTCTCCGTTTGTTTCGAAAAAAAGCGCACACATCGATGGTGTATTGCAGCAAAGGTTTATTTCTTATAAAACCACGTTTACTCAAACTCGCAGAAAGCTTTTTAAATAATTAACTGTGGATGAACAGTGTATAAAAAATTAGCAAATGTGTAACTCAACTTACTGTAATATTGTCTAGGGTTCCTTTTTTAAGCCTAGCCAACACACTGATCTCTGAAGTGTCGCGATTTATGGCCTTTATTTTGCAGGTTTCAAAACTCACGTAATTATCGTCGATTGACGTACAGTTTATTCCAGTCACTTTTATATGCAAACGCTAAAATACATCGATTAATAACTTGTATGTTAGACATAATTTTCTAAAAATATATGTGACTTTTTACAAACATTTTCAACAATCGACAAAACTGACAAAATCGACATAAAAAATATTAGATATATTTTTATAAATTTCCAGTACATTTTTATATATTTTCGGTGTACCTGCAAACAATAATTTCAATTGTTCAAGCATCGTGGACTCAGTTCAGAACCTCATAAATACATATTTTATAATACATTTTTAATTGCTCGTATCCATTTCTAAAATCTATTTGAATTATTATTGAAGTCAGTGTAACAGCAAGCAATGAACTGGGCAATTATATTTCACTTATGAATACTATTTCATTTAAAAATATATTTCATTATTAATAAATTACTTATTATATACATATTATTACATAAAAAATACAATATTTACATATGTTTGTAAGAATACATAACAAATTAAATATTGTACATGCGAATAATATAAGTTCGTATGTATATATATATATATATCAAAATACGCAAAATCATTGACTAATATTTTAAAGACAATCTTACAGCAGACAGCTAGTGCAGAGAGCTACAAAAGTTTCGATGCATTAACGTAATATAATAATATAATAAGTTTCCACAAGAAAAAATTAATACTTTTTTAAAAATACTATTTATTACACTTGCATTTTAAACTCAAAATTACTCTGTAATTTTT